GGCTCTCAGCTACATCTGTTGCGATGGGTTACACCGCTTGTGTCTACCCGAGTGGTTGGCGCACTCTAAAGCAACTCAGAAAAATCTCATGAATGTGTCTTGCCAGCTATTTTGTGACCACAGCAAGCTCACAATTACGCCAACCAGTCTATTCTCGATGTTTCTCTATTTCGATTTCATTCTACTTGAGATGTATTTCCATGGTGTTGCATAGGCATCCCGAGTGACAGGTTAGGACCAGCGGAGTTCGCTTTGATTCGGGTTCTGCTAAGGCCGTCGAAACAGATGCTTAGGCTATCAAGGAATTTATCTTCGTTCCTTTGGACGATTATTAATGATAATAATGTATACTTAAAAGCGAACAGATTCTTCAGATTATAATCGTTCCTAACATTTAGCCGAAGTTTTTACTGTCATTACACAAGAACATTCAGTGCTAAGAAATGCCGGCCATTTTTATACACTGAAAAGGTACACTGAAAAGGTAATCGTCGATTGTGCACAGCTTACCTGATAGCTTAAATGTATTTTAGTTTCAACATGGAAGACACTACAAGGATTGCTGGTTCGATCGTGCAATTCAACGTGCTCGAATGTAACGCATACATGTTAGCCTCGTGTGAAACTAAGAAACATAGTACGTGAAAAGCAACATAGTTGCATGTTATTATATTGTAAGTCGTCTCTTCATACATGGGGGATAAGTCTCGTGCAGCACGAGCAAATGAACGTTTTGGATACTGCCTATAGACATCGTTTCAGACTTGCACTACATATATGTGCGCATTTTTTCCCAACTCGCAAAACGCTGCTGTCTAGGTAATAACTCTCAATCAACTCGAGATATACGCCCTGTTGGCTCAATCTATTCGCTGATTGTAAAGTTTAACTTTAGCGTCCTGTGGGCTATACCTTAGATGAAAAACTATCCGACCTCGTAAGTTACGTAAATACGGTGCTCGTATCAATGATATGAATAGGGCGAACGAAAACAAATGATTGAATCAACCTAAACTGTTTATTTCCAATTTCGAAATCGAATAAAAAAAGTACAGCATAGGCGAACTGTCAATGTAGTGATTAAGAAATACGTTGTTATGTTCTGCTTCTTTTTTTTATTCATACGATCATATTTATTACAATGCAACAAGAATTTAATTGATAATTGAATCCCTTATACTACACGCGTTGGCGTATTTGAGCCTGTTTAACTTGCACTACGAGGCAAACGGTTCACGTAAAAACCTATTGTTATTATCCTGTTGTATTGATTACGTTTTACGGGCAATACCCTTTTTCTGGTTCGTATGAAGCTCGTTTAATCTCGCAGCTATCTATATTATGTGGCGCAATCAACTGATTCTGAAGGTGATACGAAGTTATTACAAAAGCTGTCGCTGCGTCGTTACTGAACTAACAACCTTACGTAAATGACTCTACTAGAATAATCAGCACGGACTTATTTCAACTATTGATGTCCTAGCTTATCCGTGAGACGATCCACCGGTGATTTCTGCTGCAGAAGAAGGCGGGCTGAAGGAGCCCAACAAACAACGGTAAGCAATAATAGGACCAGAAAAGGACAGGAGGCGCGAGAGGAAATTTACTATAAAGCAACAAGGGAACTAGCCTCTGACTCGGTGGATGTTAGCTCGTGAAGTTACGTTACTTCATATTTTAAATGCGCTGGCCAGGTTCCAAGAATAAGCGGGGGGTTTGTGCCATACGAAAAACGTAGAAGCTGCAGTACATTTTGTTTGGCGTATGACGCCGCTGGCCCATGACCTACGTCGCCTACGACCTGCCGAACCTCCGGCCAGGGCCCGTGGCTCAAACAATATGTCGTTATATATTAAATCTCCTTTCCTAAACTAGTGCTAGCAACGCTGCGGCCGCCGCGTCAACCAAAACCTGGCCTCGTTTCCTCCATATACTGTGTCTGTACGCGAGTATATATATAAATACATATATATATATAGAACAAAGAACGCGTAACGGACATCTGCTGCCGATATGAGCCAAGGCGAGCCATGCTGAGCCCCCCAAATCGGCTGCATGCCACGAGTCAAAGTGGTGTCGGCCTTAGACTGGGGGTTGTATTGCTAGCATTACAGGCCGCATATATGGTAGAAAATATTGCAATAGGAATTTGTGAGAGCTGCCTATTGTTGCTCGCACGGGAGCAGCCGTGTAACCACATTTCGGTGATGCTCAACGACGTTGTTGTTTTTTCGTTGGCCTATATCGTGCCGAAGGTATATGAGTACTAAATAGAAAACCGAAAAACGAGCTGAAGCGATGAGTGCCGAACCTCGGAAAAAAAACACTTTTTTTTTGCGGCAGAGGCACAAGCTAGGAAGAATTTTTATGCTGGGTGACTTTGGGTTGATTATCTTTCATTGAACTGAACCTGTCGATGGATTATCGTGCCGACGGTTCTACAGCTTATACAGCATTAAATCGATCCATTGAAAATGCCCATTTAAATTAGGAAATAATGAAATGTCTAGGGAAGCGGTTTATTGCAATATTATGTCAAAGCTAGGGCTTTACGGTTTTACGTACGAGGCAAGTCTTGTCTTCTGACAGGCACAATATGTGATAATATCGCCGGCTTTAGACAGATGGTCTATGTGGCCGTATCATTGTGGGTATTATACTGTCTGAGGGCTAGCTTCTTATGTTATCTTGGACGAGGCCCGTCCAGACAAGATTGTCTTCCCCCAAGATGTTAGTATGGCAGCATATTGATATATTTATACCCCATCCGATGAACGGCTCGGTCGATGCAATGGATCCTCGGCTTCGATAATTATGACAATATCTGTAAAGCTTAAGTCCTTGTCATAGGTGAGGTAGCACAGACTAAAATTCCGAGCCAACTTTGGGCGTGTACGAGAGTGATCACCCAGGACATTGTAGCCCCTCCCCCAGGCCAACGTTGATAGCGCTGATGCTCTGAGGGTGACATTCACACCTTTTATGGAAGGAGACACGATAGTTACGTGGTGTATCTCATTAGAGAAAAAACGACATAGTCCTGCCATTCTGAGCTTCAGCCAGGACAGTATAATCTTCTCAACTGAGGTTCGATTGTATTCGACTTTAATCTAATCAATGTGTTATACTTTTGGTAGAAGTTTTTCGCGTGTGATTACATTGAATTTTAGGCAAAAGAAAAATGCTCAAAAAGTACGATCTTTCTCCTCGCCTGAACAAAGACGAACGATGTATTTTCAAAACGGTAATGTCCGTTGGCTGATCGGTAAGCCGCGGATCTATTTCACTTAACTATATAGTATCCTTTTTATCAGCAGACCCAGTGCTACAGGAACTGTCTAGCGTCAAATTGTCGCAATTGTTGAATAAAGAATAGCTCGATAACGAACGAGTGTGTAACAATATGTTGATTTTTCCGACCGGCTGATAAGTGACAGCTGTCGCCATTTGCAGTTGCTTAGACACTTGTTTGGGTTATTAAGCTGCTGAGACGGGGCGTTCGTTTTCAATGGCAAAAATTCTACCGTTTCTATATGTTTTCAGTCGATGACATTTCCGGTGATTAAAAATGTCGTTGCGACGGCCAGCACTTATTAATATTTGAACTTAGCGAGTGCACTTCTACAAGGTACGCTTCAACCCAATTAGCGACTTGCATGTAGCATACAGGTATGATAAATGTGGATAATTTTTTTTTATAAAGAACACACAGGTGGTGCTTTCTACAGTAATTAAGGGAACCGAGTCTATGTCAACGTCCAATGTCATATAATGGCAGTTTTATTAGACGCTTCGTGAGTTCCTTGGATTGGTGGCCATTTTCTGCTTACAATATTGTTATTGACCATAATGTATGTATTAACAAACTAACTTCGGCGGCTTCGCATATCAGACGAAAACGCCATATGGATTATAATCAACGCAAACTGTTTCAGGTCTGTTCCTTTCAGAAGAAGCAATAGTTTGAAACGTGCCCTTTGTCTCGTGCTCTCAGGAGGCTTTGCAAGGCCAAAAGGAGCAAGGCATGCATTAGACGGAGGAAAGCTCTCACGATAATCGACTGCACGAATGGGCCTACCTCGAGTTCGTGTCCGGGTTATCAGAACACAAAGGTTAGAGAAAGTATCCCCGAATGGATTGAACATGACTTGGAATGAGGAAACGTGCGTGATACACACTTCTTGGACTGCAGTGAGCTCTTAGACACTTCGGATTTTACAGTCCAGTATAGTCACTTGTTTCTTGTTCAAAAAATACTTTGTAAGTTATGTTAGCGACAAAATGTTCAGCAAGAACCTAGCGCATCTAAGTAGTACAAGACCAGTTTAGCCTTCCTGGGATACTGTTGTAAAAACAGCTTAGTGAAGGTTAGCAGAAAGCATATAAGAGTGAAACCGTACGAGAAAGAATCGGTTATCCTCAAGCTTCAGACTTCAAAAAATAAGTAGCAGTTATAGGGTCCTTTCTGTTGACTGTCAATATCTATATATATACATATATATAACAATTCGATAGTACAAGACGATTACAAGTGTCGATAACCATTTGGCCTCGTTACTCAATATATGAATTGATTTAACAAAGCGAGGACGTTTGCAAAACGAGCCTATAGCAACATCTTGTAGAAACCAGAAACCTTACTGTTTCAAGGGAAGCAAGTGCGTCACAAGTAGGAGATTCTATCTACAATCCGCATACATATGTAATCGAGTAGATAAATACTAAGTTCTTAAAATATCAACAGTTGAAGTTCGACGGTGCTTGGCCTTACCGCCATCCTGTTCAAACGGAAACAGAATGCTCGTACTGACTGAGAACTAGAAGCTCAGGATTTGCAGCCGAAAGTTAAATACCGCTTATTTTTCTACCAACAAAGGATGTATCTAAAAGAAACATCTAGAGGAAATATCTAAAGGACTGCGGACCAAACAGGAAAGAGACATGCGTAAGATCGTGCGTTTGGAGAAGCCAATAGGCCCTATGAAGAATCGCCCGATATTTAAATCCGGCCAATTTCAAGATTAGCCCAGTTACTCCTTCTGTAATCTACGCAACTCAATATACGTTCATTTTTAGAGTCTTTCAGTAAGATAACGAAGCCAATGCAAAACATCGAACGGTTAGAACGACTATTTTCATTACGATGGCGCCCAGTGTATCCGGTGCCGCGCAAGCTGCGCGAAACATCAGCCCAAATGAGGATCCGAGGAACAGTCTCTACCAGTCTCTGGCGCAAGATCTGGCGGGGTTCTCTGAGCACAAAATTCGGACTCAGTTTGTGATTAAAGTCTTATCAATTCTTTCGTGTATGCTGATGATCACGACGAGTGTGGTCAGCATTATCACTGTGAGCAAAAGTACACAGTTGTTCCTTCTAGAAAACTGGTGGCTATCATTAGTAGCAGGGATTTTGCTGTTCAGTGTATCGATCATTCTTGGCTGTTCGGAGAAGTTGCGAAAATCGTTTCCCCTAAACTATGCACTGTTGCTTGCTTTGACTTTGACACAGTCGATCCTTCTTTGCTATGTCGTTGCCGCCTATGAGACAAACAGCGTGTTCGTTGGTATCTTCATTACGTGCATAGTCACGGGGGCTGTGGCGACATTGTCTGCTTCCACTACATATGATCTTACCCAGCTAGAGTCTCACCTAGTGGTCGCGGTTGCCGTGCTTGCTGTGGTCCAGCTGGGGGCATTCGTATTCGTACCGAGTCTACGGAAGATAGACACTGTTTTCGGTGGGGTAGCCGCAATGGTATTTTGTCTGTACATTGCTCTAGATATTCACCTCTTGTTAGGAAACCAACACAATCAGCTCTACCCTGAAGATTACATTGGGGCTGTGATCACGCTCTATATTGATGTCATTAATCTTTTCATCAGTCTATTGCATCAATTTGGCAAGCGGAAGGAATCAAATGCTAGTTGAAATTGTAGTGCAAGAAGCAGATGTAATAAGGACATTTTGCTGTACCTTGCCTTTCAAATTTTACAAAATAAATTTCATGTAATGACAGTTTGGGTTCGGCTCATGCCAGCTATTATTTTACTTATTGTTGTAATAATTTAACGTATGGATGGGTGGGATTATACCTAATTGTATTGTAAACAATTTGAAACAAACGCCACTTATATCCAGTAGGCGTAGTGGCTTTGATATATCAATAATAGTAACTAATGCTTAAAAAAATTAGAAGTTAACGCCGAAATAGTTATACGGCGCCATTGAAGCAAAGCTAAGAAGATCGATGTAGAAGCACGACAATCTTGCTTTACCTAGACACCGATTAAGAAACACTCTACGCTCGACGGCAAGTCGTTGTACTGGGCTTATATTGCACACCGTAAAATTCGCTGTTGCCCATTTTCTGTCATTTGTAAAAAAATACAGTATGACGGTTGGTAAGCTCTTCGCATCTGTTTCTTGGCGCAATCCCTTAGGCGAGCAGGGAAGTTCAATCTAGTTGCTCAACAGTACAAATGAATCACACAACGAATACTGCGTATGCTGCCATGACACCAAAACAATTCGTCCGTCCTGACAAGCGCAGGCATTTCTCTCCCTGTGCCCGTAGAACACGGACTTCTGATTCGCTATGTGGCTTCATGCGTAGCGATGTACAGTCGCGGATGCAGCCGACGTGGCGCACCAGCCATCTTTCACGTTAATCTCTGGGACGTGAGCAGGTCGCAAATGAGATCCACAATTGCACAACACATACACTCGACGACATTTTGCCGAGGACGGGCGAGGTTTTCCCTGCAAATGGTGAAATTCTTTCGAAGGGAAAACCACGCTAAATCATGGGTGCACTGCAGCAAACGAAAGACCGAAGAGATGGAAGAATTGGCGGGGACGTTTCAGTTCCCCGGGTGACAGCTAAAGCAGAACGAGTAACGGTCCAGTAAAGGAAACGAACAAGGAGGCTTGCCGAGTAGATCGTGGGAGATATGCGCCGAATGGCTTGGGAGGGAACAGTGTTTGTTCTAAGTTGTCCCCTTTCCGTCCAGCTGGCAAAAGCTGAAGCCAAAAAGACACTACACAGCTCAATGCTAAAAAATAAATCATTTTAGCTGGATGGTACATTTAGTCAAATTGGAGTTATTTACTCTTTCTTTATGTAGAATATTAGCTGTCTGTCTTATTTACTCTTCGCTCTAACAGGTACTACTATTGACTTGAGAAACAAAAATATCACGGGATGGACGAAGTATAAATCTCTTGAAAAAGCTATCCTTAAAGAGGCCTATAGAAGTAGGGTAAGCTTTTTAGGTTTATCGAGAGGTACTGATGTTAGACATCTGTCTAAAGATCCACATCAATATGCGGTCCTTGCGTTTAATACTGCGTTAGACTATCTTCCAGTAAAATTCACATGAAACCTTTTCGTAACGTATAGCCATCTTTTTTCAAATATGTTAATACTATATACGCTATTAGCGGTAGCGCTTACTCGACAGTCAGCTTTCAAAAAATATCCAAAAATCCCGACTCGTTACTTGAATTAGTGGCGAAACAGAATTTTGCCGTAATAAAATAACAATGGTTTGTGTAAGGGGAGCGCGATTAGGCAAAGGAACACGTTTACGATTGTTGCCGAAGTAATGGGCCGAGCAAGGTCCGGTTTTCGTTCGTAAAATTTTGATTTTTTCTAATTAGCATTAGGCATTTACGAACTTGACGAACGGTTCAACCTAGAGGCTACCCGTGGATAAACAAAACTGATTGATCGTTGCTTTTGAACATGGCCTATTTCTAGGAGAAAAACGAATAATTTTACATAGGCCTTTGGTATTCAAAGCACTCTACCAATCTGAGCTCCTATGAACCGCAGATAAATGACGTATAACTCATCATTCTCCTATAGAGACAAGCTATATATTATTATTTATGGCCATGTTGTACTGTCTTCGGTGAGAGAGATCTCCTCGTTCGGGAATTGTTTGACTATTCTATATTTACTCGAAATGAAATCGAGATACCGGCCATTAGTTGTCCGCACGTGGCAGAAACAATAACTTGCTGCGCCACTCGCACTTCCCCATCCGCTGGAAGCTAACGTTCGAGTCAAACAACGGCACGGAGAAAGCTTATGACGGTATCTGCATCAACCAATAATCAAGCAATGTATAATCATTTCGGCTAGACCCCTTCAGCACGTAAGTGGCTAGGTCTCCAGTAGACCCGATCCATTATTCTAGCGGCAATCGTAAGCGTGTTCCTTTGCCTAATCGCGCTCTGCTTACACGGACCATTCTTATTTTATTCAGACGAAATTCTGCTCTGCCATTAGTTCAAAGGATGGGTCGGGATTTGTCGATATGTTTGTGAAAAACCCCAAACATGTCGGAGAATTAAAGTTATCGCACTTACTGGAAGTTTGTGGCAATTTGTACTTTGAAGAATACTATAACTTGTATCTTTGACATTTCAAGTGTTATAGAAGTATGTATTTTTCTAAAAAAGTAAATAAAATCATTTTGATACGATATATGCGAACAGGTCTACCCCCACTATCCTAGCTGCCTCAATGTATTTACTGCCTACGAAAATATCTGCATTGAAAAATAACCAGTTGGGAATCGCTGCAACGAGACAATCAAAAACGAAGATTAGTCGACCCGCATTTTCAGTTAAAAAAAAAGTATGATTTACGCGTACTTGTTGATTATGACTCGGATATGATGTTCAATATTTTGTCACCCTTTTAATTTTTTTTTGTTTTTTCGCTATTTGAATTTATTGTTACACTTGGCTAACGTGTTACCTATATATAGGTTGAAGCTTGGCTTTCTCAAGTAACTGGGTATATGTATACATGAAACGTTTGAACAGTCACGCAACCACAAACAGTCCTGCAGAGAATAACATAATTAGATCAAAGGCGTTTAACAATACTTGCAAAAATACAAACATCTCATAACAAAACAGAAAAATTTTAACTCGATACCACAAAATGATCATCGAAAATCAACACAATGTTTGGAGACCCTTTGAGAGCGATTTACATTTAATAATAATAAATACTTTTTGAAAACTCACAGTATCAGCATGATTTTGAGATGTTTGAGCAGTAATAAACGGCAATTAAATAGCTTCTGTTGAAGTGAAGTTTTTTTACAGGCAATTTTCGGCTTCTATGTCAAGTCTCAAACGTTTGTCATACATTACAAAAGTTCTGTAAGAGTCTACTATTAAAACTTCTCAAAGACGTTTCTTAGGACAAGATATATTATTGTTGACCTCTGTACTTCTGTCAAAGTGCGTATTTCCAGGTATTAATACACGAAACCACTAAAACTAAATGTTTTAGCTTCCGGTCCGGCATCGCCGTTTCAGATAGCATTTCAGACAGCTGGCTCTACGCACGAAACGAGATACGTCTATGCTTAGATTCAAACCTATTTCACCTCATGTCCCTTATGTTGATCAAGCAAACATGCTGTCCCAGTATGTCATCATGGGAACGATACGACTCTTACCACTCGTTTCTTCACTAGTTATCTATGGAGCAATTTTCCTATCTACCAAAAAAAAAAGCCTTACATGTATGCAAGCAGGCGTCAGTCGATAATTCGTCTTTGCAATTAAACCAGTGATCTATGATCGCAGTCCCCAGCAACTTTATCCGCTAGTCTTCATAGAGGAGCGGGCGCTTCTTCCATTGGCTCGAGAGGCATTGGACATATAGCGATACAGACCGATAAAGTGAGTGAAGTAGCCTGGGAGCTTCTTCAGTTTATCCTATTCGACGGATATTATTTTCACTCAAATCCTTCTCGTTTCTAGCCGATATCACAAAGCTGTGCTCCAGCCACATCCGACCTCCTTCCACTTTGGTTTTCTGAGACGGGCAACAGCCCGTCATATCCATAGGCAAAATAACGTGGGATACAGATTTGTCATTTGAGCAGACGACAAACGGCTAGTAACAACTTGGTTCGGCGTCGGCTGCTGTACCAAAAGCGATCCGTTCCTTCGTCCGTTAGCTGGGTGAGGCAGAAAGGCTTTAGAAAGAAGCGAACGCTCCCTTATTTCTGCCACCGTGGGAAAGGCAAAAAGGAAGTAATGGAGGCGACACTTCTGCCGCCGTTAAACCCCCGTAAACAAATACAGATACGAAGCCTAGCTGGCGTCGCAGCCCAAAACGCACGAGAGGAGGAAGCCTCAAAAGCCGGTGATGCCAGGGGTAGCTAAGGCGGCTTCAGCAACGCTTTTTCCGACGCCGTTACCGATCCGCCATCGCCCTCACGAACAGCTACCGCAGGCAGACTACTCTCCGCATACGTCACTAGGATAAAATGTATGATTGGCTAAAGCTGAGAGAGTAGGAGACAAAGTGCGCACGACGGAAAAGAGGATGCGATACACAAAAAGTACAAAAGCAAAAAACCTTACGTCTGTAAAGAGAAATCCAACGATGAGAACATGAAATACATCAATAGATGGACAGAGACAGGCGGCGAGGAGGATGACGACGCTATAGAAGGATATGACAAGAGGACTAGCTGAAGACGTTAGAAAGGAGACGTATCCTTGAAGGTACAACATAGAACAACAGAAATATCGCTCGAGATGACAAACAAAGGCTGAATAGAGGCCGGTGGAGGATTGTCACAAACAAACTGAAAAAAAAAAGGAAAATGGAATAGATCAGTAAGGACTTGCCTAGCAGAACCGGAAGACTGCAAGCAGGCGGGGATTGATCAAATAAAAATGGTAGATGCGGGGCAGACAGGGAGTCATGTCGAAATGACAGAGTGCGATAACCACTGATTGATTGCAGTCTAAAAAGAAAATAGGACCAATCTTCACATAGGCTATCTGTTTCTGACAAAGAAGGCCGCGCAAACCTTTTTTCAGCGTCGTTAAGGGACTGTTGCAGAGACAGAGTTCTCGCGAGTTGAACCGGCTCGCAGCAACTGTTACCTTCATTCACTATTACTCTAGATTAAATTCATGCATGTCGCCGTACTGGAATCGTAATAAACTCAAGTATGCATGAAATAAAATCTCAACATCGATATATTATCTTTAGTTTTCCGGGTGTCTTCAATACAACGATTAGTCGGATCCGGTAGTCCTATGGACAACTACACGCAAGTAGAGGATACTTTCTTATTATGACATTTGTGCAATATAGTTAGCTCGTATTCAGCCCCTTTATTGTTTCTTTGTTCAGGTCATGATCGACGTCGTACAGATTTCTCGATACGTTTCATTACTTATGACCTGTCCTTATTTCGGTCTAGAAATTAACGCACTGTATCCTCAATTAGGAAACAGAGCGTAGGTCTGACATGATGTTTCTAGTCGCTGAATCGGCAAAATTTCGACAAAACGCAATAGGATGACCCCAGAAATTCCCTTCCGTAGGTTAAACCGTTGAAGTTAGCAGTAATATAAGAAAAGATCTCGACTAATAACACCAACTAATAGCGGAGCAGTACTACATTTTTCTTGGATAAGTATGAAATACTTACAAAAACAAAGAAGGAGCCGAGTATCTAAACGCAAACTGTTACAACAATTTAAGCTTCGTAAAGGCTATTCGCAAACTATTTACCCAAAGCAAAATCTGTCATCACTTTCATCATCATTTATTCGTCATAGTTTGCGAGTGTTGAAATTATTACGCAGCTTACAACCTTGTTCAGCCGTTGTCATGTCTTTATTTGCTAGTGCCTCTAAGTTAGACGTGAACATTGGACACACAGTAAATCGATCAGGAGGTTCGACTTGATCCTTGCGAAAAATAATCGAACCTTATATTTCACAATGATTTCTGCCGCAAGCAAATCGAGGAATGGCACATTTAACGCGCCATTACTCGACGGTTGCGCGACCGTGAGCTCTGGGTATTCTGAGGCATTCGCGGGTCGCGGGCTTTCCATCGATACGAGCTACACCGTTTCACGCGAGGAATGCGGCCTCAGTTTCTGAGTGAAGTACGTGAAGGTGGCTGGGATGGCATGCTGGGCCTGAAAGAAGCTCGGACCCTTCGCGACAAACATGACACACAGCAACATCCTAACAGCGGATGAATACCTCCTGTAGACAACTAGTTTCGCTCTTGTTGCGTCGCTGCATACCAAAGCGCGTCTCACCGCTTATGAAATGAATAAAGATATTGAAAGCATCGATTGAGAAGTTACGTGCGGTTCGAACACGAAGTTTGGCGTTTGCGATACAATATTGTACCTACCGCTTCCTTTGTGTCAGGTAGGTTATTATATAAATGGTACTAAAACGAATCACTATATATATATACCTCGTAGTCACCGACGTTTCGTGACAATGAAGACACAATGCTTATTACAAAACATTAAGTATATAGATTACTTTATATAGATTTATTTATATGCATTTAATCATGAACCATGTTCGTATACGGTACACACATACACGTACAGTCTGTTCTCTGCGCTGTTCTTATAGTAATGGAGGCTCGCCGCATGCCAAATGCATTCTATTGCCATTGTCACTGTTTTTGTTATAGCACAAGTCGGAGTACGGCTCCACGATCTCACTAGCCACAAACGGGTAAATATGGCTACAGTCACAATGTTTAAATGCAGGCAGCTGACACATGCGTGTCACTGCTCAGGTTGACCAAGTGGCCAGGTCGAGTTGTACTTTAACAGAGGATCGATCTCTCGCCCTATCTTTGAACTGAACCTCAGTTCTCTTTGCCCCGCACAATGTGCTCAACCTTGAAACAACCACACTATATAAAGTTATCTAAGGAATCGTATGACTGTTCGAATATGACCGTTGTCTTATTTCGCTATTCGAAACTACGGTAATCTTTCATTCACTCCAGATAGTAGCAATGGCTACTGCGAAACCATTCAGTCATCTTGTCATGTTCTCGCCGCATGTCAGTCCTCAATACATGCTAAGGTCGTCCTGAAAATTGCGCGGGTTAGCTGTGTAGTACATGTTTTTGTGCATTGTAGGACACCTGCCCTCCTTAGCCCGCTTGAAATCGATGTTAGTATAAACGACCCGGTTATTGAGCGGCTGTCGGGGCCGACGATTGTTCCATAGCGGTGCTTTAGGGTTGTCCTGGTCGCCCTGCATCAACTTGCGCAGTAGATACAGCTGCTGTTTGGACACCTGCAAAGCCTTATTCATGACTAGCCAACGCACGCTCTCGACACAGCCGGGCTGTGATAGTGAGCCGGCATATGTCATATATTCTTCCGTTGATGGCATCAACTTTTCAATCTCGAAATCCTCGAGTGTCGTTTCTTGGTCTGGAAATATGTAGCATATGTCAGCTCAGCCTCAAGGACATTAGATCTATAACGTATTTTCCTATATCTATTATAGCTAATGAATGTGCATCGTAATTCGCGAAAACCTTGGCCAGACTGCGTCGACGACCTTGTTGAAATCGTTTGCTTGAAAAGTACGCTCGTTACCGTTGTCATGCCAAATCGTCACCGATATAAACGATAGAACTCATTATTCTGTTTAGGGCGTTATGGCCATTTCTTTAACTTACCTCGATAGGTAATTTTATGTAATTGACTGGTGATGAAGCGAAAGTCGGGATGCGATTGGTTTGCCAGCTGCACGAGCACAGCGATGGCGATGAGTCCGCTGCTCTCACGAAGCTCAATAGCCTCACTCAGATTCGAATGTAGCTCTGAGTTGTATCCGAGAAACTGGATCTGTGACGAAATAAATGAATGGATGAACTTGATTTAGGATAACTACTCGGACAAACGCGATGAAACGGCAAGCCCCATACTAAGCTATTTTAGCAAATATTTGGGATCAGTGATTTCTAGGCCAATGGCTAATTGTGCACTTGCTTCTTTCAACAAAACAGGCGCTTAAGGAAATCATTGTCCAATACACTGAAGAACTGTCATTGACTCGCCTCATATATTTGTATGAAACGACAGTGTATACACCATGAAGTTCTCTATAAATACGGAACTTTAGTAAATATACTACATTGGTCACATCATGAAATACGAAGATACGATATGAACACGGACTCGATGTGGGTATCCGCTATCGGCCACGGCCCTGACCCGGGTCCGGTATGCAAACCCGACTTGTTTAATCGTTTGGCGAAATTAAAGAGATGGGCAGACGAAACTAATGCAATTTGAAGTTCTCTTGCATACTCCAGTATCTACGAGAATTCAGATAAACACTACGCGATCAAACACGGCCTAGAGCATATCCATTCGTCGATGATAGTCTCGCTGAAAAATCCAAATCTAACCATTCTTTATCAATGAGAGAAACATTTCTAGGAAGCAAATCTGAATCATGTGTGTTAACGCGGAACCAACTTAATTCTACTCTTACTCTAAAGGGTACTTACCTCTGCAGGAAAATGCTTGCCAGCAATTGTATGCTCTGACCCATGTTCGTCGTGATTGCCATAGTGAATGTGCACCTCACTAAGAGTGTATTGGTATGACAACGGGCCTCCACTAATATTCACTTTGGGGGTATCGTTCAATTTGAGAACAATATCGTGCCCCGTGTTTAGCAGTATTCCACTCACCTAGAATCACCGACATCAGCATGATTCGCAGTTTGGGTCAAAAAAATTGCGTATGACATTGATCAAGCACTATATTATATTCTTGAGACGTGTGGCACGGTTAAACTCGAACGTTTAGGTCGAGCATATATTGGAATGCATTTCGTGTCGCATACCTTGACCGGATCCATGACGAAGGGCTTAAGGCGAGGATCGAAGAGCAGCTGTTGTGGATCTAAATCAATAGGTGACTGAGCCCTCCCACGACTGCATAGATGCCAATCAGGATTGAGTAGACCCCAAAAATCGGGTCCAGAGATCCCGTCATACGTCCACCACTGCTCCCAGTTAGCCCATGCCGTATGTGCTGGAACCAAGAATTCGTTCCGTTAGGAAGTTGTCTCATTTACACTGAATTTTTCCCGATGCCAAATACGATATAATAAGATATTAGTACTGGTCTACATCTACTATTACTTACGCAGACGTCTGAAGAGGGTACAGATAACTGAGCCAAATTGGCTATGACACTAACATAAGTGTCACGACATATAAAACGATGGAATGTTTTGATTTTTTAAAACAGTATTGCAGTTGAGCATGACGTGGTGAGATCTCATCACCCCGAATCTGTCTGCAAGTTTTTACAAATAAGCGTATATGTTCTACATACACTTTACGCTAACTTGTTTTTGTGTCGACGAAAACAGCTCTCGGCAAAGTCTGTGGTCGCTATTACCAGTACGTAAGGTTTTTGGTATTCGGCAACAACTGGATCCGGCATGCCGGACATTAGGGTGTCTCCAAATCAAAGTTCCGTGATGTGCCAATAACATCGCACCATATTTGCACGTATGGTAACCTATCTAGTTGTTGGGCTATGGCCTGCTACGAAAAGACGAAGGCACATCTCAAAAGAATGATATGTTTTGCAGAGTGTACCTGTGCATAGGTTATCGTATTCAATCAATCGAGCTATAGTATTTAGATTGTTTGAAATAACTCTATGTGGAGCCGAAAGGTCCAGTTAAGTCCCAAAGGCTTTTCAAAATCAGCCTGAGCTTCTTGGAAGCGGTTTCGATGTTTTATGGTGTACCATATGAACCCATTAATCCAACAAACGGCTAAAGCTGTTCACAAGTATTGACTCTAAAAACTACTCTTGATTCCAGCATACCGCACACAGAAATTCCTATACGGCGGTAGGACACTACCTCCTATGCGCAAAAGCGCTCGACACAAGGACAACGACCATCTACCAACCATGCGGGTACCCTGTGTTCTGAATTTCGGCAGTCGATCTACGGATCGGTGGCTACCATAGCCAATGTATCCACAGCTGAGGCCCTATGAAAGTCGTTCAGCTGTCCGAAAAAAGGAAAAGGACAAAATATAGGGACGAGGAAGGAGTAACTCACTGCGTGACTGTATAGCCAGTAAAGTAGTACAACCACCGAGAACCTCTTGTGAATTGCTGTGAGCAAGATGCGCACCTGAGCCCAGAAGCTATTCAGTCCATACGTACATAGAAGAAACTATGTGATATTGGTGTGGTCCTATAGTCTTTTCACATACAGACGCTTTACGTACATGGGTGGGCCCAGTGAGATGGACTTCACTAGCTTCCATGATCACTGCCAACCACCAGACCACATTGAGCGTTATTTACAGTCGGAATACCGTACATACAACTCGTCTAGGATGTAGAATACGGTGAGGAAAAATTGACCTAAATACAACAACGATAGGATGGAGTAATCATAAATTGCTTCTAGTTGATGAATGTGTCAACTTAAGCAAATGGATCGAGACAAGAAAGCTCATTGATCTAATTATGTGAGAGTTGATTAATTAATGGAGCATGATGACAAACATGAGGGACTGCATTGCGTTGTAAATACGACAGCTTGTCGTTCTGAGACCTGTATCTATCCTGACACTTGTTAATGTATAATTTTATTCTTAAATACATGTTTAAGGAACATTGTCTCTTTTTCGAGAAATTATCCTCAAAACATTATCACTGTTTGGGTCAGATTATAGTTATCTACGTGTCTGCGTCCTGATTGAATACTACGGAAAACACGCACTAGACCGGGCGTAGTAGATCATTATAGTAAAATTTTTCTCTTGTCTTTATTCTCGGTTAACTTTGTGGGCTCCTACAGTATGTGTAATTATTTAATTGCATACATAGTGTTATCCGTAATTTTTATCTGTTGTTACAAGATCTTAGATCTCTTCTTGTATTTTCAGTCCGTTCTGATGTCATGTTCCCTATTCTAAATATCTTCAACCGTTTTTCAAATGACTGCCGGTCAGCGTCACCAGGTCGTTACGATCGCTCGCATCCCCCAACCACCCCCAAATGGAGTCAGCTGATATCGTTGATTCCTGTGCCCGTTATTTCGGCCTTTATTAAAGGTATTTGTATTAAATTGCCACTATAAATATTTATAGAATAAAATTAGCTGGATAGAATCGGGAAATGTGCCTCTGCCCGCAGAGGAACTCTGCCAGTCAAGACACTCCAGTTTAATAGATAATTCCTACTCTCAATAGCGCAAAAAACAGCAGGACTTGTATCCTACTTGGCTAGTTCTTGGCATTTCTACGGCTTGGTCTAAATTTGTGTAAAATCAGTTTTCTTTCATTGCTCGTAAAGCGAAGCCTGATAAGCAGGGCTGTGTATATTTTAGCGGCTATCCACTGATACCATATCATATATGTTTCCATTAAGAACAAAATTATTGGCGAGTTTATGGTTGTGTTGGAAAAGGGTAATATAACATTCACGTGAGAATTTAAGGATCGACAGATAAACTTAATTGGCTTAATCCAAAGAGGTATCATTTAATAGATAAATATTTCAAGTTCCACGTACGTTCTGTACATAAGCCGTTAAGCATTTTTTAAAGGGGCCACCTGACAGCCTGAAACGGGGTGTGTCTACGCCTGAATCCAAAGCTCTATCACTGAAAATTCGAATCAATAAGCATTGAAGAAACAATCTGGTAGCGCATCTGGGGGCGACCAACGGGAGTGAAGAGTTGACGCGTCCCTGATTGAAAAAATCATGACTTTTCAACTTACGTTTGTTGACTCCAAGCTAGTAGAACTGGCGCCTGTTTGAACGACCGAAATCCTGAACTATATATAATCAATTTCAGCGCATTTATGGTGTTTAAACACTTTTGCTATATCTAAGCGTATTAGTTCGACGGTGAGTATCGGCAGACGGTACCGCACGTGTTCCGCAAATGAAATCTTCCAAAAAATAAATTTTAACTACCGAATTAAAGTATGTACTGTATACTTTTATTTAGCATACGACTCAGACTCGATCCTGCAAATGTGTGTATTGTTTTAAATAAATTTTTGACTTTTGAAATTCCCAGATATAAAGCCCATAGGCTCATTTGTTTGTTACCTAACAAATAGACCTGCCTGTGCAATAGTCTTTGCGACTTTATGCAGAATTATCAAATCGAAAGCGTCTGAAGTTAGCCTCCAACGATTGCGTTTGAGCGTCTTGAACGACGCTGCAGAACGTATGTTTTGAGGTATACATATAAGGTATAGCTTCACTCGCGCCTTGACATCATCGCCCCATGGTCCGAGAAGTCAAATAAGGCACTTTTCTATGGGGAATAACCGTCAGCTTAATAGCATTTCTGTTTTCGTCATATTTCTGACCACAAGTTTAGACAGTTGGTCACGATTTTTTTCTTATCCGGAAGGGACTTTGTGTTCGAATGCACCGCACGTTTCTGTGTACCTGTAATACAGTAACGGTATAAACCTTCTTAGAGTAATTATTTCTGGCATCCCTTAAACGCTAGCATGTTTAACGTGTTTGCTTATTGCTGGATACAGGGGAGGATTTAAAGACAGCTGATTTTCACTCAGAATTGTACCAGTTATTTCGGTTCATACAAGATTCCACTCTTGTAATTGCATATACTAAAAACACTGAAATTTCTACAAAAAAAGATTGGCCGTTTAAGCGTTTGCGAATTGGAACAGGTTACCTTCAGCCGTTAAACCTACGGCAATCCTTCACAGTTTAGCTGTAACCAGTAGCTAACAAATACAAACATATTTACTTAATACCCCATATATACAGCATCCTCGCATATTAGTAGGCTTTAGTCATACTTAGTTTACAATTACTGCTTCTTTTAACTTCCTAATTTTTCAGTGCGTATAAGCACAAGTTTTTACCTAACACTAGCACTATATCGGTATTAACTATAAGCACCCATACGGGAGATCTATAGGTTGACGTGTTTAGTACGTATTTTTGCAACGGGCTATCATCATTTTTATTGTTATTATATTCGTATGTGTTATCGCGCTGTAAATATCTCCCATACGATACATACGGAAATTTACTTATGCTTTATAAAGAAATTTCTCTCTCTACAATCAATTCTATCACATGTTTGGTATTAATTAATTAAGTAATTAATTATTACCATTAATTAGTTGGAAAGTATGGCTTTCGGTTATTTTCAGATCACTTGTAAAGTTCTTTTTGCTCTGTACTAACAGCCAATCTACTAGCCCGTAAGTATTTAACGAACACAAACGAGGGTTCATACTTCTTGAAAATATTCAAGTTGCATTCAACATGTGACAGTTAACAGTGATTCGTATTAAATTAAGGACAAGGAAAATTTCTCCTTTTAATATTCTGATCATGCTTTAGAGTTTTTTAGGAATCATAAAATGCTTCAAGTTTCGCGCCTTGTTTCGAGACCCTGGAACAAGTGATAGTTTACTATTCGAATATATATTGGGCCTCTAGCTAGATCGCTATGGGCTAAATCATCAAAACGTTTAGCTAAACGATCTAGCTGACGACACCAAAGACTGTGCCTCCTTGTAGATGTTTACTTTTCTGCTTTTCAACAGAAAAAGCGCAAGTTAGATTTATGAGTAACTGTAGGATTTTCCAGCCGTAAGTCTTCTAAACAGTTAACGTATTTGATAACTTATGCCCCGTCGAACGCCTGTCGATGGCACATTTCTGTAATAACAGCGTATTCTCTCGTAGTGAATAGGCTGAGAACTCAATTAGCCGAGGAGACGGCAATGACGTTTACTATTGTGTTTTGCAAGGAAAGGATTGCTTTTACAGGTACAGCATGTCTCTTTAAGGACGAAATAAAAAAGCAAGATCATTATCGAGCATGTGATCGAAAACACTCGACAGCTACTTAGAAAGCGTGGAGTGCCACGTAAACTATGTGTTCTTATGGTTACTGCCCTTGCCGATACCCGAGTGACCAATCGATTTAAGAGCATAAGTATGAAGGTAATTAGCGCACTGTAATACGTTTTACAATGGCACTTGGAGCCGACCGTAGTGCTAAGCTGGTGATCTCACATGAGACAACAACCCCTTACAATACATAAGTTGTTATTATATATTTTAATTCTTAACAATAGAAACAGAAAGTTTGACATCTTAGGGTATTTGATAGGCAAGTACGCTAGTCGTTTTAAAGTTAGTCGAACTCAATGTTCACAGCAGCTGAACCCGTAACTGAATCTGAAGTTACCTTGTCAGCCAAGATTATTGACGGGATTGTTCGAGGCAGGAAATTATGCGCATATCTGTTAATGGTAGTGTCTTGGTTTTCTTTTATCTAGCATTTTCAAAGACGGTTTTTCTATTGACACTTTTTAAGAACTACACGCAGATTAGCAAAAACCGTTTCATATAGGGAAGGACAGTTCAAGAGAACATGGGTTTGATATTATAACAAGAGTTTTCCTTAGTGACCTAGAATCATAAGCATGTCACGCTTTATTTCGGTATTGTCCAATTATATATTATGCTAACTTCAAAAATGGTATTTAAAAACTGCATCGATTCTCACAGTCACCATCAACTGTTCCGGTATGTTTCCCGGTAAATCGAAAGGTTAGGTCGACAACAAGTAAATTGCGGTTGCATCAATAAACGAAAAAACCCAAAGGACGTGTTTTTTTTTTATTAAAGATCGCTGAACAGCTGTGCGACTGACAAGATTACAGTTCCTTCATAGCTGTCTAGCGGGTAGCACTTCTTGATCTGCTTACCCAAAAAAGATTTTGGGCTGGGCTGTGTTGTCATTCATGTTCTTCATATAAAGCATTTTAGCTAAATGTAGCTGGTTCACTAGGCGAGATCCAGGCCCAAGGTACTAGCGTCAAACGGGGCTGCCCTTATGCTGAGTGTGGACATTAGTAACGAAGCTCGGGTTCGCCGATAAGGGCTTTTGGGGAGAAAGAATGGGGGTTACAGGTAGACATCGCTACTTTCCTCAAGCATTCAAAGTTGCCCTCGTCTAAGTTCTCCCACTGCCGTCATCACCACTTCACATAACTGGGACCAGTGAGCGTCTCTCGCTCTGAGCAAATTTCCGCGGTCACGAAAGTGTCTGGTGGGAGTCTTGGCAGGAGTGCAAAGCCTAGCGCAGGGCAAACCTAACGGTTATTCGCGAGCAGCCCTATTTCATTAGGGGGACATTGCCAGCTAGCTTCGGCACCTCGTCATATGCTATGCCCATCTATGTGCTTGTGCAACGATGTGCGTCACCCGGTCTGCTACTGGGGTGATGATTTCGGTTGTAAGATCCGATACATCACCCAAGTTGCGGCAGCTATACCTTTTCCCAACCCAGCTCACCCCATTTGCGTCAGTCGTCGTCGCCCCGACTCCAGCCCCGAGGGGTTGTCGACATGGCACCGTGATACGCGATTCCCTCCAGGACTGTGTTAGTCATTTCGAGAGCAAATCTCATATTAAGAACCAGACTTAGCAGGAACGCCAACGGGAATTTGGGATGAGTGCAGTGGGACGAATAGAAGAAAAGGATGCTGCTGGACCACGCTCAACTCATCACTTCCCTCCGCTCACTTCGCTTGCGACCCATTTTCATTCGAAGCCACAGCCGAACACTCTAACACCCAAAGCCACGAAACTCAGCGCCTTATCATTCAGTTGTCGGGACCCGTCGTGGGAGGAGCCGAATACCCCAGGGGAACCAGTGAGCCAGTCATCAGACCTAGTAAAATCGACTAGCAGAAAATCTTCAATCAGTATCGATGTCATATTGAGGTGGTGAAAGACAACATTATTTTAGTTGTATTAAAGAGTCAGAAATGCGAGATAGTATTAAAGGGCACTATAGATGGATGAAATAGAGGGCCGCTGAAAATAGCGATGCGAATCTGGATATGTCTTGCGTGGTTTGCCCAGTACACGAATGATTTGAAGTAACTGTGGCGGCATAGACTTCATCGAAGGCTATATCTGTACTGCCATTGGCTTTGAATCAATCATTTTTTCGGGGTCAGCATGGTTATAGAAATGGTCAGCGTTTTAAGGTAGAGTAAGCTTGTAATTGTTTCGTTTATGTCAACATCGCGTTGCTTAGACCTCTTCGTATGCTTGGCATATACCGCGTATTACTGATGAACGAATAATTTCACAGATCCTTTTCAATTGAAAACTTCCTATTTCTAACTAGACTTCAGCTAACGTAAGGCACACTGTTACCTAAGTACTAGCAACCCGCTTATACTAATCAGAATAGCATGAGAATTTTGCCTCTCAGGCAACGTGTTCTAAAGTGTTATAGAAGAGAGAAAATACTTGCCGTATGTATGATATATCAGCAATGTATACGACCACGCTCCGATCTATTAGATGTACACTTAAAGCGACGCACTTAAATCCAATAGAAATGCACGACTTAACGAGTGGCAGGAACGAAAACAATATGAAAAAAGAAGAAACGTACTGCTCTAATAGACAATAAGACGCATTGATATTAAGGCAGCATTTGAAACACGTATATTAGCTTGGTGCCAATTGAAACGAACTACAGCTTATCAGGAACGAACTAACTGACTCAACTAGTTAACACCTTCTCCACAGAATATATCAAGGTGACGTTTACACCTATGGCTCAACGAACGCACATGCTTCTAAGAAACACATCTGTACAGAAAGATTTTCCCCTAGTTTGTCGTCGACCAAATAGTTTCCTTTCCAGCTTACCATTTAGGAAAATTACAGCGGCCACCAACTTAATCCACATGTTCTAAGCACGTAGCCAAAATACTGTATTGGTTATCCTTTGTCCGGTGAGCTCACGCTCTGCTGCCACGAGGCGTGTTTTTGCTTGTCGAACGCGGTGTTGTCAACGTGTGGCGACACTATTTCACGATGCTCTCTTTCGATCGTGGCTCCGAATGGTCTCAGTGCGTGCGACGCTCAAAGCGCTATTTTTGCTGCGGCCACGGTCGCAGACTTTTGTTTCATCATGTACTCATAGTAGGCGTTTGCTATTGTTCTTGCTGCAGTAGGGGCAAAAAACGTCTGCGTGCGCTTTCCGTGCACCCAGTAGTTGGTCAACGTTCGAATGTTACTATGGAGCTGCCCCGGTTGTAACTAGCAATGTAGCTGCTATAACAGCAACCATATGTACTGTTGCGTGGCAAAACTTTTACAGGTACGGCCTACGCGCAGTTTCCCGTTTGACGTACGACATCCGACTGGCAGATCTCATAGGAGCTGCCTCGTGGAGAGTTGGGAGGAGCCATTGCCCTTGGTCCCGCCTCCACCCTCGCCCACGACGTGTCGTTCCGACGAGGCAAGCTACCGCGAACGGCAGATCCGTGCTGGCTGGCCTCGCTCCAACGGCCTCGGAAGGCGCCCCTGAACGCAGAGAGGATGAAAGCTGTTCCATCCTCAAAGAACGAGCCCCGACCAACCACGTGGTCATAACACCCGCTCAGCCGCTTACTCCCATTAAACTTACTCTGTTCGGGGGCGTCATACCTACATATATTACTGTAGATAGTGAAAAACCGTCTATGTGAGAGAAAGAACTGGAGAGGGATAGAGAAAGCTGGAGAGGGTGAGGGAGAAAGATGTGGGGAATCGGAGGACGTAGGGGTAAAGCCACAACTTCGGCAAGATAGCAAAGAGAGAAGCCGAGTTAAAACAAAAAGCACAGGCCGTGTAGAAGGGAGTAACCACTACAGGTAACGTGCGAATACCGACGTCCTTGCTGTCCTAGCCTAGAGCACGGGATTCTCTTGCTGGCATTTATAACTCTGAATACACAGTCAGCCCTGCATACGAAGGCCGAGCGGTGGTGATGAAGCGGTAGTAATGTGTTTGCCTGCTATAGTTAGGGGCACGTACGCAAGCCTAGTTTACTTAAATAAACCTGTGGTAAAACTATATATGCATTAGGTAGCTGGACCCTTACGACTCAATAGCATCATTTGGCCCGTGCAGTCTGATGCGACGAGCTAGTTGAATAGTTTTGGCGGGCCAGTAGACCAATGTCGTAGTAGCTACACTGGATTTTTGTCTTAAGCGTATGTAGGGCTAAGCCATGGACTTTCTGCAGTAGTAGATGCTGCTGCTGCCAATCTAGACGCCCTATCTAGATTTTTTTATCTGGTAATGGTTGTGCAATATAAATGCTTGGGTTTATATAACCATTTGGCAGAGGTGCGCAATTTAGGACCACAGTCAAAGTAGCTAGAACGAACGTCAGATAGGTTATTCAAAGCGTTCTTGATATGTTTGTGGGGCAGGATGGCTGATATTTTTCATTTAAAATACTAGTGTATTTCTGCACGAGGATATGGCATACTCCATTCGTAAGCACTTATTAGGAGACATGCAGAGACTGAGAATATTAAAACAGGTTTGCGATAGCAACGAGCCAATGGCCAAAGACCTGTGGGTCTTTGTTAATAAATCTAATATATTACGAACATAGTGTACGGTATATATTAATAAAAAGCTCATTAAATTTTATGTTTCCGTCTGTCAACGTAATTTGCTGCAGCTTACTACGGTACTTTTAAAATAATTCATTGAAGATTTGTCGAAACCATGACATAGAGCCTACTAAGCGTTACGCAATAAAATCGCTACTCGCACGTTTTAGCTAACCGTAACACCATTCGTTATACACCCCAAAAAATACGTTGCCCTTATCCTTTTCCAAGGCGTCGCCTATGAACGGTATTCTAGACAATTCAGGCGTTAGCCTGCAAAAGGCAGTTGAGAGCTTACATCATAATCGTATCACTCTACAGGCCGCTTCCCCGTAACCAGTGAGGAGTCTAATATTATTATTATTTAATATTATAATTAGCCACCTGAACGAATGACTAGAACCTAGAGAGACGGTCAACTGCCTTCGTAACATATCAAAGGGCTAAAGCGACGTTTAGAAACAAACGCGAATGTGAATTTGTACTGCAAGCTTAGCTATTCTAGATGACTGTACCATATCACCTTATCGTTATGTTTTTTTTTTTTTTTTTTTATATAAAATATATATGTATATGCGCAAGCGGCTTTAGGGAATCGATGAACGATACACATTTAGCACGTAAAGTTCTCCGATAGAGTTTCGTGGCACGGAATCACCTTCTAAAAACCTGTACCAAATATGGTATATAGAAGCATTGGATAGCTTCACCGAGTCCTATTTTAAACGAGAAATTTCTAAAACGGTACATAGAAAACATTTCATTTATTATCGTAAATTAATTACTCCATTCAGGATAAGCAAAATATTATAATTTATATATCAGTATGCCAAAAAATCGTTTGAGCCTTAGCTGTCCTAGTAGTTCGCGATGCCCTATTTCATTATTAGACTTAGTTAAGTAAGACAGGAAGTTTTCGAAGATTTTGACAAGTTAGTCTTGTCATTAACTATCGTTTGTTAAAGAACCCATTACGCTACGTTGCGTTCGAATAGGAACTTGACCCCTATTGTTTTCAACTTAAATTATCAATATCTTACAAAAAATAGAAGGATAGTTTATTTTGTCATACTTTTATGCTGTTTATTCCTCATGTAAATCAGAACATTAAACAAATAATTAGAGACACTGTGCCAGTACTAGGTTTCAAAGGGTTGCGTAAATAATTTATCTTGTTTTGAGTTTACTTCGCCTCTTAAGACCATTATAATACTGGAAAAATTTATTATATATATAAAATATATATATATATAAAAAAATATATAAAATCGAGTTATATTAAGGAAATAGTTTATGGAATTCTTTGTCCTTCGCCAAGTTGGGGCGATTTTTTCACGATTGGGCAGGATGTGGTGTCTCAGTTAAAACGCCCTTGAATACACAACATCAATAACGAGAAAGGCGATAGTCATAAAAGATAACGAGGGATTAGTGCAGTGGTAACAACAATGGATGGCACAAGACAAGAACGGCGACTAATGACTAAATCGCGGATGATTGAAAAAGACGGCAATATAAAATATGCTGGCAGAAGGGGCGCACAAGCAGCTACCCGGTTGTGGCATATTTTACGGGCTGTGTAGGGGATCTGAAGCGACGGTTGGTCGCTCACAATGTAGGAATTGCTATTTAGCTTAACGTAATAGGTTTAGGGACACGTTGTGATCTGGGTTCTAACCTCGAGTTTCATACGAATGGCCGACGAAATGTCTAATGCCGATCCCGCACGTAACATCGAGCGATTGTTACGTCAACTATTGCTTCTGCATTGTGAAACTCACACGGCGGCTCCGATTGCGTCAAACACAGATGTAGCTGTTATGTTTCTACTTCAACATAGTGTCTTTGCTAGGGGCCAATAAATAAGCCCCTTTACTGACCGTTATTCCACTGCTAAATAACGCGAGCACATATCACCGATTAGTTAAATATAAGCTCACAAATAAGCATATTTCGAACTAACACTTTGTTATGATTACGCTGAATCCCTCTAGACTCGATAGTAGGAAAGCGAAACTTTTAAGGGCCGTTGATTGACGTTACTTCCGATCGGAGATAACGGGCCGGAAGTCGCCAAGACTAACGGAAGGGACGACCAAACGAAGGCGGTCGGCAGATGACTGTCAAATGGGCGCGCAATTTTAAACGGACGTGTACCCTTGTCATTTAGATATCGTGCGTCAATAAGCGCGCAAAGAGACGCCTGGTGTCAGCCAAACAAGCTAGGTTCGTTGGGGCTTTCGCATCGATTTTCGTTTTCTGTGGCGGCGCCTTGACGCCCGTGAGCTTTAACAGCTAGTTAACACCAGCTGGACGTGTTATTGTGAGAAAGCCTTACAGCTTGCGGCAGTACTAAATTGCATTAGCGATAATTGCCTTAGGAATTGGCGTCTGCACGGTAGGTACGTTGTCGGTGGGAAAAGTCAAGCATCTTACGCATCCTTGGCTTAAGATGGTGTCATCTATGGGGCTATTTCTGTGGGCTTACAGAGCAATAGGAGGTTTTTCGGGAGTCGGCTGACGGGTACTGGAATACGCAGACCTCAAAAACTGCATTACAATAATTTGTAGCCATTGCAAGAAACATTCTGAGAATTTTCTTTTATGCTAGATACCGGAAATCGCCTGCGATTCTGCATAGTTCTCAGAAGCCTCAACATTTGACCAATGTTTGTTTAACGGAACCCACAAATAAGTTTTTCCCCTACACGAATAGCGTAAGTATTGCACTTTATGGCGCAGCCCAAATTTTCAAAAAATATATCGGGTGGCTTCATTGCGGTCAGTTGGTTCCAAACATGATTTACATTTTCGGAACCAAAAACAGGATCTTCTTGTTTATTTATACTCGATTAGTTCTTTAAAGTAGAAATTTAGTAAGAAACAACGACCACTTTCTTTTTTTTATAATATAGGGCCTCACAGCCTTTAGGAGATACGCCTAGTGATACCAATATCTATTATATATATAAATTACACAGCGTGCAGCAACATTCGCTCGATACTTTCAAACAAATTCACCGAACGGTGCCAGCCACTCTCCTAGACTCCTTAAATTCGAACCGTGAAATCGGACAGGTAAAATAATTGCCGAAGGCTTCTGCGCAGTCTAGACGCTGGGGTCGGAAGTTGAAAAGGGCTTTAGTTTGTCTTTTCCCGCCGTGTGAAGCTGACGTCGCATGAAGTCAGGCCAGTCGAGTGTCTCGTCTGCCATCGGTTTCGATTCGCCAAGATAGCTTCTTGGTTCAAAGTACGTAGATGCCACGATCGTTTTACTCGAGTATATTTGATCTTACTACTGCACGATTCGGTCTGCTGTGAATTTCTTCACACTTCACCGAGTGTACGTAAGAGTTAATTAGTCGAGCTGCCAATCCACCATCGGGTATGTTATCCTCGTAGCACGCCATAAATAGTTCCTCGTTAACGTATGGAAATGACTCGGTTAGATTACTACTTGTCTTTTTAATATACGCTCGTGAAATTGTGGCTTTTTTGTGTGAAAAAGAAAGTTGAAGAAATTAGCTTATAGATACTCACTTGAAAAGTACGAGAAACTATCTATGTCATAATTCTGACGGATATATACTGTGTATGTTGATTGACGCGTAAGAGCTTCGACCCTTAAACTGGTTGTAAATAAAAGTGGCGAAATCGTATCAATGTTAATTTAATCTTGCCGCTAATATGATAGTATCATTACTTTGCCCCTGGCTCCATATGCATGTCAGGCTTAGGTAATTTGTGCAATATATAATATCTCTTTATCGAAGGTGGAGCATTGACAGAGCAGGAGATAGCAATCAATTTTGAGTAGTGACCGGGAGTCTCCAGGATCAAAGCCAGCTGAGGAAGGAAACGCAAAAAAATAGACGCTGCTACGGTGCTCGAAACAATCATTGGTAGGGTGCCTTGGCGAAACCCTGCAAATCCAGAGAGCGAATACAAATAGGATTACCCGAAGGATTTACGTCGAGTGATTGCTATCGGCGTTCAAGTCGACGCCTTTCAATAGCATGGACACTTGCCAAACACACAAGTGAAAACGAAGAGTTTGGATGAATGAAAAAATGAGGACGCCTTGCCTAGATTGGCCTCTTATCGGTCCTTTAGACCAACATATGACAGAAAATCGAAAACAACAACACTTTTTATTTTTTTAGGAATATCGTTCTTCCAAACAGCCAAGATGTCTTCACAATTAAAGGCTTCATAGCGAACAGATCGTGTAGTAGACCTAAGCTTTATGCTGGATATAATCAGTTTTACAACAGATATCCCGGTTGAATGTAGTAACTATGAAATGTTGATTGCCCGGACAGGTATAATCCGTAAAAACGATGTTAGCCAATCATGCGAGAGCTTATTTCCTTTCCTGCGTCAGCTGTGAAGAAATGTGATTTATACAGTGATAGTCTTTCGCAGAGGAACGGCCAACTGGTCGTTTTAATGCTAAGCAGTAGGACGGCAGGGGGAGTGACAAAAGCCGCTATGGGACAATCATAGCTAGGCGTCCTCTAAATTCACATTGATCGTCCCGCCAGCTAAGGATTTTCTTCGGCCGTCCAAAGCCACAAGTGACTGACTAAAACCGGAAAGCAAGATGAACAGAAGGAAAAAACGAAGCTTCTGAATAATCAAAATAGATCATATATGTTTTAGAAGCGTGACGAATAAATAAAAATTTAGTGACAGTATGAGTAAAAGGTCGTTACGAGTACGAATAGGGAGCACGGTAACTTCAGTGGCCACTACCTAGATGTCGAAAAACTACGAGATGCTAACACAGCCGCGGTGATTTTCACATGAGGATTATGTTACAAAGTTATTGATCAGCCGTAAAGTTCTAATATTCTGCTTTATAGTATACATGCGTTGTCCTACCAAGTGATTGAACCTACTACAGATATCTTTCGACACTAGAAAACGACTAGAAGCATCAGCCTGCGGACGCACCCATTGTAAGTAAAATTTAGATTAGTTTTGTGCTTCTATACGGAAAATGTAGGCTGTCACAGATGTTGTTGCATTTTTCACACTTTTCTAAATGAAAGCTTAACGGTGTTAGAGGCCACATGGACTCGAGCGCATCCTCTCATAGACAAACAGTACCAATGCGTTGCCGATCAAAAGATTCACTATTGTTAACTTTGATGAAATTCGTAAACATGCAGTGTTTACATGAAACAGCGTAATGGAGTAATACTCGCAAAACGATTATATACAAGCAATGATGTATTAAATCATGCGCATTTACTATCTTAAGCTTTACTGTCGTTGTCATTGTCTCTTGAGCTTTCGCAAAATGCATAATCGTTGCATAATAAAGTGTATCCTATTGAATTTAGGAAACAAGCAGACGGGATTCTACAACTTCATCTTGCCTTTTGAACGTGTTATAAACCTTGGCTTTTCTCGTACTTACCTAGGCTTACTTTAGCATGTCTCTTCAACAAACGTATACCTACTTTAAGCTACGCCAACTTGGCATCTGCTGAAATCCTTAGAAGTAATTCAGTTACCTGTGCTTCCGTCGAATGGAGTTTGTCCACTGCTACAGAGATTATTTTCGTCAGATCTCTTTTTTCTACACACACTTGCATACGCCTTAAGCCGCTTTCATTGGCGACTATTATTCCTAAATGTCCTTTACGAAGAGAACATGGTGTATATCTACCGACGACCCGCAGCCTCCCAAAAACACTCTTAGCAGTTCTATTCGGCAATCCCCTTTGAGGTCTCAAAAGGGGACCTCTATATCGTCCCACCTTCCAGCGTCTACTGCATGCCATCACATCCCCATATCCACCTACGGCTTACGAATGCTTCCCCACTACCATAGACCGCATCGTCGTGTCGCCGTGTATGATCGTTGTTGTCGCGAGCGGATAGCTGGCCGCAAGGGCTCCCAACGATCGGCAGTGGCTGTGCTTTCGGCTGCGAGGGATGCCGCTGCCAGTGGATACACCGCGTTGGCTCTGCTCAGTCCCTTAAAGCCGGTGACTCTGAGCCGCCCCTCTCGATCTCTGGGCGCTTTTCCCGGACTGCGTTTGGGTGTCCGAAGGCAGCGTTGGGGATGTGGGAGAGAAAATCTTCTGGCTCAGTGGACAAGCTTGGCCGCTTCGGATATCGTCGGATGCCTCGAGCCTCGCAGAGGCCTCTACAGTGGGCACGAGGCAGTAACCATTGCCACGGGACGAAAGTACGATGGACGAAGGTCTTATCGGAGACGGCCATCCAATACTTGTGTGTACCATGGCCTGACTCGCGGCTGGCTGCGCCTCGCCTCGTCGCGTCCTTTAGCGTTAGGTGGTGTGGGAAACAGCACCTTCGACCCAGCCTTCTCGATCCAACAGTAGCCTACATCTCAGCCGTAGGTCGTACTATGCATGTGACTACTGCAACTACACTACAAGATCCGATGCTGTTACATATGACATCCGCCTCCCTAGTCGTTGTGGTCGCTGGTGCGAGCATCAACATCGTCGGAGGCACTTTCGCGTTGAATCCTTACCAATGGCCGGTGACTATCGTAGTGGATCATAGGTGCGGGTCCGCGGGCCTGACTGCAGGCTAGTCTTTCGGGCCATTCGTGCACATATTCATCTACATAGCTATTTGCGGGAGCTGTAGCCTATAACAGTGACTTTCTCCGTTGCAGGTAGTTGTCGGGCGACTGGCGTCGGAAGGAGGGAGTAAGGGGTGAATACAGACAGAATACAGTTGAATATAGCCATCGATTCTGGCTGAGCATGTGATGATGCAACGGAACGATACTGTTTGTGCTTGCTAGTTCATACGTCCCACGAGTGTTTATCATAGTAGAAACGCTGAACCAACGAAAATTGACTGCTGTTATTGATGCGTAGCGCATAATAGTCATATTGTGTGTATCCGAGTTAACCTTAGGAACCTGGTCTTGTGTAGGTCGATAAATATGACAAAGCTAAACGGCCGTAACGGCGCAGGTCACGCTGGAGCAGCTGAACGATTCGTGTACGTACGTGTGTTCTGTCTATGGGATGAGTGGTCATGAACTGAGTGCGGTCGTTGAGCCCTCAGCTATGATGAAAGTTGAAAGGGTTGCAATTAACGCGTAGGATCCTTTTCTTGTAGCAATTGATGGCTTAAATATGAGTGAAAAAATTTTAGGCTTATCCGAATTTTTTCATGATTTATTTATTATTACCTTATTTAAAAAGGTTTTTAAAATTCATTTTTGCAGAGATAATCTGTGAATCGTAGAAAGTCATTCTGTTATTTATTCCTTCTTTTGTATTTTGTTATTCATTGTTCCACCGGGTTAAGATTACTATCTTATTGGAATTTTTGCCGGCAGTGGCGGTATGAAAATGGATTTGGGCGACGATTTCTGCAAGATTTTTTTCTTTAATCGGAAATTCAAATATATATATATATATATTTGAATTTTCATTAATTCAATCTATTAGCCAACTAAACATTAAACAGTCAAACTAAAGATTTTTTTTTTACGAAATTTTGGACCTTTTACGAAATGGAGCACTTTTGAAGTTGGCTGTCATTATTTCTGAATTGGCAGCTTGTCATTATTACCATCACTAGATCGTTCAGTGACTGTAATATATTTCACATATGCAACACTCCCATAGATCTCTTCAAGCCGCAGAACTTTTTTGCACATTTCTCCTTTACTCAATCAACCATTTCTTTTTCCGCCCAATATCTACATAAATGTGCATACACACATATCGACGCTAACTTATCCGTCACGTTTCGCGTCCTGCATCGTTTTTCGAGGAGCACTTTGTTCCCCCTCAGAGTCTGTAGCCCCCAGGGCCTCTCTTGGCAGGTTCCTGGAGCTCCAAGAGGACGTCGAGGTAGAAACTACATTGCACCATAACACTCCCATAAGCATGAGCCACCACTGGCTGCTGCTGCTGGCGTTCCCGGCGCACTCACTGCTATTACGTGCACTGAATACCCACCTATACACCCCACCGAAGTTACCCTGTCAGCAGTAGAAGCCGCATGCCCGCTACTAGCTAGTAAGCAGCGGCAGCGGCGCTGCCGCTGCAATGGGGTCGAGTTGCCCAACTAGACCTCGTTCACCTCGTTCTCCAAGCACTTCGTGGTAGCGCGCTTCGACTTGTCCCAAGTTGGCTCAGTGGCTCACATGTTCCCTACTCTAGACTCGACCCCGGAAACGACGATTAGAGCTACGGTAAGCGCACACTAATTTCTACGCAGCGCGTCGAAGCCTAAATCCTCTCTGGTGTTTTGCTTGCCGCTCTAGTAAAAGTACTTAGCGCGTTTGAACACCCTCAACCCGTTTCCACTGTGTGGGCTCGGACGTCGACGTTATTCCATACCGTTCGCTGCAGGCGAATTTTGAGGGCGCTTGTCATGCAGCTAGCAGTGTTCGAATTAACAGCAATTGAGCGCCATGCGTACCGGTACTTAATAATTCACGAGTACTTGAGCAGCGGCGACGACAAAAGGGCAAACGGGCGCAGGACTACCCAGTCATGGTCCCCTGTTGGCGATGAAGCAGGCTTCGACTACACTTAGGGACCGTTGAATCAGCTCCCCGAACGAAAGCAGCTCGTTAGCAATGTTGACGTCCTCGAACAGCGTAGAGGACCTGCGACGATGAGTAGAATCCTGTCTTTTAACAGATATATCCCAAATAGACCAACAAACGTTGAACGACATTGAGGCACATGAGCTCCTTCAAGAACAGATTCTGGAGAGCAATGCCCTATATCAAGTTAAAGGGATGGAGGGAGGAGCAACTCTAAAGAAACGGTAAGGAAGCAGACAAACAGCTGATATCGAAATTGAGCTAATTTTTGTATATGTCCACGTAAAGAATTGCAAGTTCTGCGTATCCCTGTGTACACGTGATTATTTGTTTGTGTATACCTGATTTGTAGTGTACAGATATGCAGAAATACAAAGTTGTACGGAGGAGCTTTAGCTACAGCTGAAAACAACAACGTCTAACATTGATCGGGTTATGGTTTTCATAAAAGCAGTTATATTTTTTAATCAGTTTTAACCAGCGGATGTGAATTTTTTTTGTATCAAAGCCCGCGCTTCTTGTTAGTGACACTTATAGTATTATTCACGATTAGGGGAAACATTTATGGGAAAACAATTTTTTTGTTTGCGATCTATTTATAACTGTACATGCTACACTGTACGAAGGCTCCGATACTTGTTTGAATATACAAGAATATAGGTGAGTTCTGATAACCGAGTGTCAATGATCAATCTAAGTATAACCAAAGCTTTTTCTGGTATATTAGCCAACAGACATAAGGACACGTTGGCGTTTTTGCCTTGTGAGATCGATGACAAATACAGTAACTGACGGATAAGCGATCAGAAGATAAATTAATGAGAAAAATCTTATAATATCGTTAAAAGGTGCCTTTATTGGTCATGTACACTACCATGATTCTCTACAGATAATAAACATTAAAAACATATGACAAAAAATTTATCTAATGATTCCGACGTCTTTCTGCGGGCTTCTAGAATTTCGCTCTACGTAGCAATCTTGTTAAGCAGTAGAGGTTCCTCACTTACGTTTCTCAATCTCGAACTCATTCTCGTTCTCAATCCTTGAACTATTAGGTCTAACATAAATTACCGTATATATAAACTGAATATTGGCAATTACCCAAGTTTTATATTATTTTATTTGAAGCAGCATATAAACTTATATATTACCAATAAGTTTAGCCCAAAATGGATCTATTGTAAAAAAAAAAAGTAGGTTAATAACCAACTACAAGAAAACGCATTTTTTTTTAACTAAAACTTGTCAAATACCCCAGTTGTCTTACTTTATTATGACAGTAACCATACTTACGTGAAGGGCACTTGCGTAAGGGTCCGATTCACTTAAACAGAACGCTATACTAATAGCTTATGCTAGTCAAGAAATGCATTCATTTTGGTAAATTCTAGTCTCGGTACAGATTAATCCTAATCCTACATCTAATTGTAACCCTGAAGAAAGCCAAGCATAATGAAATAAGGTAGCAATTAAAGAGGTTTATTCCTCAACTCTTCAAGTTTTAGTTATGTATATCAATCTTCATATTGCTTCCATAAACAAAGAATCAACACAATGCAGTACAGATAGATGGATACAGAAATAATTAGTAGAGATCCTGCAACTATTCTAACTACGTCGTTAAGCTGCAAGAGGAGTCCCTTTCCATTCGAAATATATATATATATATATATATCCAGCGTGAACCAATAAAAATATTATCTCTGATATTGTCAGACTATGATGCCTTATGAATCTGAGAACTTCTTTTCCCAGCATAGCGACGATACAATATCTTTTGTCATTTCGAGCTGTCGGTGGTACGATGACAGCACCGAAGATCTCCATGTCGTCTTCAACCCACGTGGTCTGCTGCCTGCTGCCGACTTCAATGAAGAGTTCCCTGTATAAAGAGAAGATCTACTGGAGGCAAACCATTCTCTCTCTCCCGAGGGCGGACCTACGCTTGCCTGCTCGCCCTCCTCCGCAGAGGACCTCACCCGATGGAACTCCACAGCTCGCTACGCTCCGTACGTATAACGTTAGGCACGGCTCCACCCGTCACAGCGTGAAGCCACTTTCGACGGACGTCAACCGCAGCAGCTATGCGGCATCTGCAGGCGTAATTCGTATTAGCGTTGACGTGCCGCAAAAACCCTTCTTCAAAGCGAGTAGGACAAATTAAGCAATGGAAGTAACAACGAGTGGTGATACTAGCCCCCCGAATCATACGACTATAGCCGTTGAATACACGTCTTTCGACTTTGGGAAAAAATATATCACTTAGAGTTCATGATCAAGTTTTGCCATTGGAATACACTTATACGTAATGAGTCATTAATGTATCTGTAAATACGCCCGCTTGTAAGAGTCAGCAGGTTTTTTCGAGTGCAATAAAAGATTATGTCAAGAGGACAGTGCATCACCAACTGAATTTTTAACACCTGTCCAATCATAAAGAAAAGCTCAAAATTATACAATAAGAGCAGCCCTAAGGCTATAGGGAAAACCATTTAGTGTATAAAATCTCGCCATATTATTTACTCTAAGAGCTCTATTCGGTTAGACTTATCCCTAAATATCATGCCTAAACGCCATGCTTTCGAAACAACAAACCGTGCGCTTCGATCTCTCTGTTACATTGCGCCCTGTACAATGATTGGATAGTCTATTCTATGATAACTCGAAATCAAACTTTAACCGAGAGAATCTTTAGTAGCAGAACAAGATTCTAAATTTAAAAAAAGCTTAAGGCTTAATGCTCTTCAATACTATCTTGTTATGAGTTATGTAGGGCTTCTAAATGAAATTGCTGCTCCGATAGTCATATGGATTTTACTTAAACTGTATTCTATTGCTTTTACATAATAATAGAACGTTAGATCTTCAGATCCACGTTGTCTGCCAATCCATCTGATAAAGCACCCTTATCCAATAATTACGCTCATTGATATTACATCCGTATCGCTTGCGATATCGAAGATGTGGTCTGAGCTAATTACGACTAGTAGTGAACATACGACGAAATTTCAGGATCTGAGGAATCAGATTTTTAGGCTCTACGAAATCCTAATCGGCATCTTTGCGACCGTGGTAAGGCTCAATCGCCTAATGACCTCAACTCGAAACAGCTACCTTCTGGTACCAGTCCTTTCAAAATTATGTAAAATATTGTTTATACATGTTGATATATGTTAAAATATTGCTAAATAAAATTACATACTGCATGGCGTCAACCCATGGCGAACCCATAGATAAAGCGCGGATATCCCAGTGAAAGCATTTGTAGAAGTGGAATTATCATTAAAATTGAATGAATAACAAAATAACAATACGTAAACGAATAAACATAGCTATAATACGTACCATTGACACACACTATGTGTATTCGCGTTGGCTTTCGATGACGCCAAATTACTGCCTATGGCAAATATAAACCCAATATAGGTTCGGGCAACCCGAAAAACTCCCTCTGCCTATATCGAACGATATTGCATGAGCAAAAATATCGTTAGGGCATGCTCGCCGGCTAAGGTTCGTTCATGTTCTAGTCAAGAGATGTTTTTTACTAAATGTTTCTTTTCATTTGCTGATGGTGAAGTGCCATTGCCCTTGAAAACACCCAGCTTTGCTCCCAATAGAACAGCATTTCTGACATTTCTTGTTTGTCAACGTGAGCCAATATCAAACAACCCGGAATCCGTGTAGCGTATCCGATGAGGACTCCATAGTCAGGCATACCGCAGGAAAGAGACTTCGTAAGTTTAAAAATTGCATTTTCGATTTATGACATTCATTTTACTCAAGTTCGTTATGGGGCCCAATTTGAAAGGGCGCTATTATTAGGCAAGCTTACGGTTCCTCGTTATAAAGTGCGTACGCTACCCAGAATGGGTTGGCAAAATGAACGATGTATCGAAAATGTTGGCTTTTGCCACCCGACGTACCCGTTTCGGAAGCCTGAAATAAAGGTAACAGTTTGTGATCTGGGCGACAGACAGAGTATAACACTTAATCACCACTAACAAACGAAAAATTAGAAAGTGAACGTGATTAGCAAAAACGACCATTATTTATACAATATTTATTGCTTAATCTTTGTATTATAGTTCCCTATACTTATGACACATGCTTAAATTAATGTCGTCACTAAGATAGACTAATGGACTTGCTCATATTTTAATTAATACGAAAAAACCGACGTCCTATCGATTAAATCCGAATTCGTTACCTAAACAACAGCGTCTGAACGTTCAAAAGCTCAATTCCAACTACAGATTCTTTTGTCGTACGTCCATCCCGAAACGGAAACATAAATGATTCACTGGCTTTAGTAACTTTAGTAAGCAAAACTGAGCTATAGATGTTGTTCGAATAGGAACTCTCTGGCATTTATTGCAACAAAGGTTTGGTCTTGGCAAACTCTCGAGTTCGATTGCTCCAGACAACGGGCACACCTGCTCTTTTGTGTGACACGCAGATTCAGCTAGCAGTAAATTGGACGCCGACGTCTGTCAAGAGTAACGCCAGTCGCGTGGCTGTTGGTAACCCGATCAATTTTTGTGATGCATTACCTTTCTCCTTAGTGGAGTTTCTGTCATTATTGACATGCTTTTACCGCTTCTACTGTTAATGTAACCGAGTGATTCCAGCCCTGAGAACCAACGACCGACCTTGATGGCCCGTTAGAATTAGACTTGTGTTTGGCAGATAAAGGTCAGAAACTACTCATCGCAGAAATCCTAGCGGACACATGCTAGGCCATGCCAACTGAGCCACGATAGCCCCGCACCCTCGCCCTTCCCAACAGTTACCCTTTCTCTGCCAGCAGTTTGCTAACAACAGTAGCGTCTGCAACGGCGACGATTGGTAGGGAGCATTTGTATCGTTAGTAATTACGAGAGAGGAGAATAGAAGGCGAGTGACGAGGACCCAAGCGACAGAATGGAGCAACCGGTCGGATCACACAGTCGGATCAGTATTGTTACGTAGCACATAGCTGTTACACCGAGCCCATTGCGCCCACCGACTGTGTTATACGGGATGGGTTGGGTTTGCAGTGACCGTGGATGGTGGGCTGTTACAGCTTAATACTTTTGCACCGATAGTCCAGTAGTCACATGAAGGGGTTTGCCTGGACCCGCAGCGAATAATAGCGAAATGCTCATAGTGTTTTGGACATAGAAAATAGAGGATCATGGAATGCCTTATTTTGTCTTTTGTTGAACAACTGTTAGCCGCTCTAAAGCACCAGTTAGCGTAATAAAATAGTAATGCAGTTTCTATAGAGATGTATGTGCCAACGTAGGCGATGTGTATCCGCCAGTGCGCAATCGCCGATGATCCATGCTCTAGTAGCTGTTCTAGTTGGGCTCTAGTCCCCCGACTGGAGCTGCAGAGCCTGCAGATTTAAAGGGGTTGCCCTAGTGGTAGACGCTACGGTGATACTGGGTCTGGCTAAATGTGGATTAACGGTCATATAGCCCTGTGCTGATCGTCAACTGTTGGAAGTCGATTTCGCACACTGGCTAGTTAGTCAAAATGAGTCACGTTTCCTCTGATTGAACCCACTATTGTGGCCATAAGGGAGCTACAGCATATAACCGCCCCAGTCAAAATCGACTTCCCAGCTATCCCGCGCGAGAAACACGCGACTTGCCTAGGTACAGTAGATTATACGACACGCTTCCGTGCAGGCCTGACACCGCAGATGTGGTGACGAATTACCCAATTATGCCAAATATATCTAAGGTGATACAGTAACAAAGTGGCGACGGCAGTAATGGTTTCTCTCTACAGAGGTCCGAATCAGCGGGCTGACTCTGGCAGAGTGACGATTAATCCCCTGATAATACAATGATGACGTGTTTGCTTAGTAAAACTTCAGGACACGGTGAGTGGTCTAGGTTCGACACAGAGAGTGGATAAACCTTATGTCGTGCTGGGAGGGGCTAATCGGCTGAAGCCGTGCTCGACGACTGTGCCGGAGAACGCAAAACGTTTATCTTTAAATAGGGCTATGAGAACAATCAAGACTGATCTTAACAGGTTTTTCTGACTGTGTCGATGTCGTAAACGTAACCTATGAGTTTCGGATCCTGCGTTGATATAGAATAGTAGTGTCTACTTTTCTACACACCTAACGTATCTCTGTACGGCGAAATCATACAGTTTGCTTTACAAATGTTGCGGTTCAGATTTTGAATACATATCGAATATAAACAATTTATTTTGATGGTAATTGATGAATCGATAACAATGCCTGTACGTTTTACTATGCAGCTTTATACGTTCAACGTTCACTCCACGATATTGACTATGTAAATCGCCACTGCAGAAGTTAGGTCGTTACGGGTACATCGTTGGAAACATATTAATGACTCATGTATGGACTTTTGACGCTAGATAAAATGTTCCTCATTGATCTCTTGTTATTTTTACTTCACTTTGTATATGACAATAACCGATTGGTTCGTTGTATTTCTTGACAGGGAGCCTTCATGAGCTAATGATTGTCCGTCTATCAAAAAAGTCCACCGTTCGAATATCCCTATATGAGTAATTGTTGCTTTGGATTTGTCCTCTGTTTAAAATTCGCGCACGTCATATGTGTAGATGCGCTGCGTTTCTCGTCAGCTCAAGGCAACGGCTATTTCACAGGAATCGAACGTTCAAACAAACAGAATATGTTTATAAATGATGCTAATATGTTCTTCAAAGTTTTGCTCAAACACTAACACACCGACGAACACACTAATCGTCGCTACCTTTTAAATTCTGGCCTACGCTATCTAACGAACGCTGGTCACGGGGTCGTTATTGACTTTACGGAATCAGTAGGCGGGCCTGCAGCGAACATCGCTAGCGCACCTCAGAACCTCAGATCCGCCATAGACAAGAGAGCTGGACGAGTTTCGAGTACACAATTCCTGAACACGCCTACCCCGCAGAGATAGAGCAATCCGATTCCGTTGCAATTTAACAGATCTTAAAATTTATTATGTATAATTATCCCACACATTTACCGAGGGTGTGCGTAAAAAAATATTTAAAACAACTCAACTTATAATGTTAAACAAATAGAGAGGCTAACTGAAACACGTAAAAAGGAACAGAAGTGAGAATGTTTACCCTAATTATTTATACGATAAACAAACGATCTCCAACAGACAAGCGGGGCCATCCGCTCCACCTTATGCTCTTCACTGCGATTCCATTTACTTAAGTTTCTTCATTAGATAACAAACTTTCTTTTGATGTGTTTATACAAGTTCTGAGGCGAAGAATTTCGATTGGCTTATTATTTTGCATTTTTTTGCAGATCAGAAAACTTCGCTTGTATGCCACTAACAGATGAAGACATGATGTTCATGAACTCCTTTAGGC